GGCAGCCTGGTGAGTTACCGTTTTTTTTTTGGGGTCTGCTCTCTTCTTTTCAGCTGCTCTCCGGGACCTGTTGGGGGGGGCGGGCTTCTGCGGTGTCGGGGGGCGGCGTCATCTCGTTGGGTGCGGGGGTCTGCGATTTATGGTCCGGCTGGGGACTTGAGGCGCTTTGCACTGGGCGGTAGTGGGGGCGCTGGACCGGCTTCTGTGTGATTCCCGCCTGCAGGTGGGGATGTTCGCGGGGGCCTAGGGCAGGATAATGGGGATGCACGGGGCCTGGTGTTTTCTGCTTCTCCGGGTTAGGGTCAGGGGTGGTTACGGCGGTGTCCGGTGCTCTGGGCTTGGCGGCCCCATCCACGGTTTTGGGTCAGGGTGGGGGGTGCCAGGGCCAGGCGGTTTCGCAGTGTGCGTGTGGTTCGAGGGCCCGTTGGTGCGCATTGACATTCGGATGTACGAGAGTAGCTTGGGTGAGGTGTGTATGTTGAGATCTTCACGCTCTTGATCTTGGAGCGTGCCTGTCGATGGGTCGAGGGTTGACGAGGGCAGGTGGGAGGACGCGGAGAAGTGGCGTTCTTTTCGTTTTATCCCGCGTGCTTTTGCTAGTTGGTTGCAGGCTTTCGCAATTGTGGCCAGTGTCATTGGGGAAACGGCCCCTGAGCATTGCTCGGCGCTTTTCTGTTCCCTTGACGCTATTAGCAAGGCTCACTGGGTTTAGGGGGGATCGCAGGGCTACGGTGCGATGAACAGTTTCGGCAGCGTAGGGCGGATCACCTGTCGTGGCGCTGGGACCGTAAGGTCCGTGGCCTTTGGATGCGGCTTATGACTCCGCGAGGCCCTCTGGTCTGTTTTCGGGGTGGGCCGGTGGTTCGTTCTCCCCGGGACAATCGGCCTCAAAGCGTAGGGGTTCTGCTGGCGGTTCCATTGGGGTGCTTGTCGTTTCGGAGGGTCCGGCCGTTTTAAGCACGAATGTTCCGGGTGCGGTGACACCCATTCTTTGTGGCGCTGTTTCAAGCGGGGTAGAGGCCTTTCCGAAGAGCATGCGGGTATAAAGGACAACGCCAGGGAGGGTGAAAAGGATGCGGCCGTTCCTAAATAGATACCCTGATCAGGCACCCGCCGTGCTGCTGGCGGCAAGGTTTGTTCGGAGGGTTTCCGCATCCCGTGTACTTTGACTTCGATTCCTCCTCTTAGCGCGGAACTCACGGTTGGCTTTGCAGTATGCAGAGGTGGTTTCGGCTAAGTTGCGTAAGGAAGTGGGGTTAGACCACATGGGCAGCCCGTTTTCTTTTTCTCCATTGGGGGGTTTTGCCCAAAAAGGAGCCTCATGCGTTTTGGTTAATTCCTCACCTGTCCTTCCTGACAGTGGGTCGGTGACCGACGCCATCGATACAGAGTCAGGTGCGGTGTATTATACGTCGTTCGAGGAGGCAGTTTTCTGGGTTCGTCAGTATGGGCGCGGTGCGCTCCTGGCGTAATGGGATGTTGAGTCAGCGTTTCGGCTGTGGTGGGTACATCCGGACGGTCTTCGTGTCTTGGGTTGTCGTTGGGAGGGCTCGTTTTCCGTTGTGAAGTGCCTTCCCATGGGGTGTTTTTATATCCTGCGCTTTGTTCGAGAAGTTCAGTTCGTGCATGGAGTGGATGGTGCGGGATGTCTCGGGGGTGAATGCGGTCATCCGTTATTTAGATGATTTTCTTTGTGTGGGTCCGCCAGCTTCCGGGGTATGTGCAGTTTTTGCTGGCCACTTTGCAACACATTGCACAACGTTTCGTTATTCCGCTGGTGTTGGACAAGACAGAGGGCCCGGCTTCGGTGATTACTTTCCTGGGTATTGTTTGGATTCAGGAGCTGTGGAGTGCCAGCTGCCTGAGGACAAGCTGTTGGCCTTACAAGTTGAGATTCGTGGGGTGCTGGGCAAGCGTAAGTTTCAGCTGCGGGCCTGGCAGTCGTTGTTGGGCATAGCTTACCTTCACTTACCGTATACTGCCGATGGGTTGGGTGTTCTGCCGCCGATTGGCGACGGTGGCGGTACCTCCCCTTTTACATTTTATTCGCTTGACTTGGGAGCATCGGGCGGACTTGCAGATTTGGCTCACCTTTTTGGATTCCTTCAACAGGCGAGCTCTGTGGATGTCTGGCCCTGGGAGCCATTTTGACCTGGATTTGTTCCCGGATGCGGCGGCTTCCGTGGGATATGGGGCCTTTTGCCAGGGTCGGTGGAGTGTGGCTCCGTGGCCTGCTTCCTGGCGGGAGGCGGGGGGTTTTTTTTCTTCGTATCTTGATGCTGTTGGTATTTTTTTTCCGGTGGTGCTGGCGGTTGCAGTGTGGGGGGAGGATTTTCGGAAGTAATGGTTCATTTTCGGTGTAACATTTGGGGGTGGTTCAGGTCGTCAATCGGGTCTCAGCTTCTTCGCGGCCGGTGGTTGGCCTGCTTCGCCATTTCGTGTGGCGTTGCCTGCAGCTGACCATTTTTCTTCGTGCTGTGCGGCTCCCTGAGGTTGAGCACACTCTGGCTGTCGCTTTGTCTCATTTTCAGTGGGACACATTCCGAGGGTTGGCGCTGGGGGAGGAGCACCGCGGGGTTCCTTGTTCCGACTGGCTGTGGGATTTTGCCTTGGGGTCGTTGCAGGCTGGATCCGGTAGTCGGTGAGTGAGGCGACATGGTCTGCATACTCGACTTAAATGGTGTGGGACCCATCGTTGGTATGGTGTGCCCGGGAACATTCCAGTTAACCGATGTTTAACTGGAAGGTGGTGGTGCTGCACTGCGGACAGTATGGTTGTCTCCGAGCTGGTTGGTTGCGGCTGGAGGCCTAGTGGAATATGGTTGTCCGCAGGTGCATTTTGACTGGTGGGAGTGGTGGACCTGCTGCAGAGGGTCAATATTGATCCATGGGGGCCTGAGTTGGGTTTCGCTGTGTTGTAATTTTGGCATGGAAATTAGAGCGGGGGGTGTCGGTTGGTGCGTTGGATTGCCGGTTGGCTGGTTTGGCCTTCTTCTTAAGTTGCGGGGGTGTCGGGGTTTTCACGAAAGTCTTTTTGGGTTCGACAGGCCCTTCGGGGTTCCCGTAGGGCTCATCGCTGAAGGGATTCACGGTGTCCGTTGAGTTGTTAGGGTCTTGGTTTGTGCACCTGCGGTCTGTGTGTCTTTCGGGCTTCGAGGTGTTTGTTTCGGGCGGCCTTTGCGGTGGCCTTTTTGGGGCATTGCGTTTTGGTGAGATCGGTAGTCCGTCTCAATCAGTTATTGGGGGGGTTATTGGGGGATGAGGTTGTGTGCTGGGTTTACTGGGGTGGAGGTGCTCGTCCATCGGTCTGGGACGGACCGATTGGGGCGTGGTGCATGGGTGTGTTTTTTTTGCTCTTCCAGCATCTCATGTGTGCCCGGTGGGTGCGGTGCCGGATTTTCTATCCTATCGTCCGGTGGGGCAGGGGTCCTTTTTTCCAGCGCGCTGAGGGGTCCTCTTATTTCACTTTCACTTTGTGTCAGTTTTCAGACGGTGTTTAAAGGCGGCTGGTTGGATGCGTCCTTGTGTGCTTCGCATTCGCTTTGGATGGGGGCTGGTACGGAAGCTGCCGGGTGGGGTTTGTTGGATATGGTTCACACGTATTGGTAGGTGGGATTCACGGAGATTTCGACTGTGCGTTCGTCCGCATCTGTTGGGGGACTGGTGGGGTCTCGTGTTCTGTTGTCATGGCCTGGGGGGAGTGTCGGTCCTGTCTGGGTAATGTATTGTCCTGGGGGCTGGATGGGTGTGCCGGGTATGTTGTGGGGGTCGTGTGCTGCAGGAGGGGCAGCGTTTGAATCGACGGGATGGCCCACTGGATGTCCTGGTGCTTCCTGCGGGTGGCAACGATCTGAAGGTCGACAAGGAGGTGGGGCGCTTCTTTATCCGTAATGGGGGGCTGGTGGTCCGGCATCTGGAGGTGGATACTTGGAGGTATCTTTGGAGTGCTGGGGTACATCTGAATGCGGATGGATCGGATTTATGGTCTCTGGGTCTACAGGATGGAGTTCGGAGGGGTTTGTTTGTGGTGTGGCACGCATGGGTAAGGGCTCACCCAGCGTGCTGTGGCGGTGGTTGGTCTTTGGAGGCGGTTCTTATCTTGGAGGTACAAAATGGTGTGGGACCCATCGTTGGTATGGTGTGCCTGGGAACATTCCCAGTTAACCGAGGTTTAACTGGAAGGTGGTGGTGCTGCACACTGCGGATGGTATGGTTGTCTCCGAGCTGGTTGGTTGCGGCTGGAGGCCTAGTGGAATATGGTTGTCCGCAGGTGCATTTCGGATCGTTTTGGGGGTGCCTTCAAAGACCAACGGCAACTCTTTATGTTTTCTGTTATAAGGAATGGTTGATGTGTTTAAACTTGATTTGTTAATAAAAGGCCGTGTTGGCCATTTTACTCCAAAATTGGTGTTGTGTTTTCTGTAAGTATAGTAAGTAAAGGGGATTGGTATGGAAGGGTAAAGGGTAACGGTGGTGTAGTGGGGTCTGGATGAACCTATCTCGGGTTTACTAGTCATGTGGACATGAAGTGGATGAATAAGGCTGCAGGTGATCAAGATCAAGAGTGAGGTCCAAAAAAAGAAGAAAAGGGACACAAAATATTCCCTAAAAGAAAAAAATATAATTGCTTATGCTGTTCAGGGCAAGCTGCTCAAGCAGAACCCAGAAGACCACGGCTATCACTGTACCTAGTGTTGGCTACTATAGTGATTTTCAGCATCCCCAGTGGCTCTCCAGATATAAAATATGGATAATCACATCATGTCAACCTGGAACAATGTAAGTTGGCAACAAAGATAATTCCTGGAGTTCTGCTTTTTTAGAAGAGTTTAAGTCTTCATCATTCAGGTGACTTTAAGACAACAAGATGGCTAAATATGACCCTGTTGCTAAACAATATCAATGCAGTATAAAAATGAACATGGATTTTCTTCCTAATATCATAGGAGCCTGCAAGAGGAGCAATCCACTAACCAAAAACTGCATATAGCAGTAAATACCTGGTGCAGATTTCCATTGAGATGGTTGATTTAGCCTCCAGATTCACAGCTGAAGAGAAAAAATAAAGTAGTACTAGCAACGCAATACAAAAATATTTTCAGAATGATTATAGATATAGTTTTTACATTAGCAAAAACAAATCTAATGGTAAGGAGGGAAAATATTGGGAAAAATGTATTTCAATAACTGCAAACAGTTAATACAAAAGTATTCAATACATGAATTCCTCTTCCTTCAGATTGCATGTATTCCCTTTGTAATAAGTGATATAGCGATCACAAGACCAGGAATCACTCTGGCTCACGACTGTTAGTGAGGACTGAAGATGTCGGTGGCATATTGGGTTGATTTTTTTTGTTAACATTTTTTTTAGATAATTTATTTTTTTAATACAATTATTGCATCAGACAATCACAGTATAAAACAGAGACACACTGCCATCTGCAAGCTGCAGTGGATTCTGCAAACTGAACCCATTTTTTCTGATTGAACCCTTCATACAAAACCTCTACACCAAAGTATAATTAAAAGGACTTAATACTTACCAGGTTCTTCCTTGGCAACGGTCACATCTAGTTTAAAATTATTACATTTTTCCAGCTTCTCGATAGCTTTAGCATAATATACAACATTGACCTGCGCAAAATAACCAAAACAAAATTACTCTACAATTCAGTGCAAACTATTGCTGTCAAGAGAGACAAGTAATTGCTTTGTCAAAGGGGTATGTTGCAAAGCAGAGTGGGTAGGCAAGGCAGTGGAATGTATTTTTATTTTTACATTTTTTACTCTATGGACAAGTTGTTTGCCTTGAAATATTTCAATAGATTTAATGAACAGTAAATGAGCCATGTAGAAAAATAGCAAGCGAGCGCTATCTGAGACTACAAAAAATTAGCCCAGCTCCCTATGATGATGTGCATCGCACAAATGCGTCAGGGGGGGCTACAGTTTCTGGACGTCTGACCACCGCTGGTGGCCATCCTGAATTGGACAGGTCAGTTTTATTTTCACCATTTTCTCATATATTGATCTGTTACTCCTTAATGCAATAAACACAGTGTCTACGGTATTACGTTATGTGGTGTCCCTTATTGGGCTCTCTTCATTGAGAGTTCCCACTTGCAGAATCTGTTTAAAGGGACCCCAGATGGTGACATTGCAATAAGGCTCTCGGAGTACCTACCCTAGATGAGATTGGATGGTGTATGACCCTGACCCTGTTTTGGCAGTAGATGACCACTACCTGATGAGAGAGGATAATCTCATATGCACATGTTTGACGCACTTCTGGTGAGTGCGCACTCTTTATACCCTATATCCACTGTGTGACACACCGGATTCCTGCCCCACGCACTCTATTAGGTTCTATTGGATCCCCACGTGGGCGTTTCAGTTATTTGGGACATTTACTCATTATACTATTTTTCTATTAACATTATTACTATTTTGCACCTGACTATATTGCTACCAGGGGCGGGACTGACCATTTGGAAACTTGGGCACTGCCCGAGGGCCCGGGGTCAGTAGGGGGCCCCATGAGATGCCCCTGGTACCTTTTTCATACGCTTTTTTGAGTTTGAGCAAGGACACAGGGGCCCCATGATCCCCTATTGCCGGGGGCCCCATGAGTTGTCAGTCCGCCCCTGATTGCTACTATATTTTATGTTCATTTAACATGTTGTTTTAATATGTTTAGTTTTTTATGCATATCTAGAGCTGCACCTTTTATATGTATAAGTAAATGAGCCATCCCTGCTGCTTTGCAGGTGTCCCAGAGCAAGCAATTAGGTTAGCTGTGACACTCTCCCCATGAAAGCATGCTTGATATTGCAACTGGCAGCCTCCTCCCTTATAGGCCCTGGGGGTGTAGAGGTACTCACTCAGTCCCTTGTATCCTGCACTTTGTAGAAGACTGCTTGTTCAGGCCTTTTAGCTGTGCTAGTCTTCCATGTTGAACAGGTTGCCTCCTAGATAGGACTTGTGGTTCAGTTACCTCTGTCTAAACTTTCTCTCCTGTCCTTCTTCCTCAGCTCCAGCCTGGAGGCAGAGCTGCCCTTCCCCAGGGTCCCCTCCCAAGCCTCACGATCCTCAACACTCCATCTTCCACCTGATCACCAGATTCCTATTGCTAGCCAGGCTCTCTCATATTTAAGGGCTGACCTAGCCACCTTGCCAGACCTCCTGCCTGGGGATTGGCCAGATTCCCCTAAGTTTGCAGATCATGCCTCCTTACCTCTACCCACTAGTTTATAGACGTTTCCATGAACCTCCAGAACCAGAAGGAGGTGATAGAGGCCTGGTGTGCAGAGTCTTTCAGCCTGACCTCACACTGAACCCACAGTAAATTCAGACTCACACACCTACTATGAGTCAACAATACATTTACCTCACTTTGTCTAACACTAGAGGACACTACATGTATTTATTGCTTGTTAACAATTTTAAATATGTAAATGTGCATAATCTGGTCAAAGTTCTAAAGCTCCTCTTCCTGCTCCGGTCAATCTCTGAATACCAGTTCTTTTGAACCCTAACAAGTCACAGTATACATTCTACTCAGAGCAGTACTAGCTACTTTTTCTTAGCAACTGTGTATATTAACCATTTAACAACCAGGCTATAGCCAATTGACAGTACAGCACAGTCATATGATATCCTCCAGAACCGCGCCTCCCGCTCGCCCCCTGGGGTGCACACCTGGCGAGCTCTGTGATTGTCGTGTCCTTTGGACACAGCTGATCACATGGCATGGTAAAGGACAATCACAGAGTCCTTTTACCACATGATCAGCTGTGTCCAATAACACAGCTGATCACAATGTAAATACACTTGCCGGTTATTGGATGCACTTTCCTTACAGTGTGAGGAGAGAAGAGAGACGGTAATCGGAAGGTGTATTTACACATCAGAGGACATCAGTGCAGTTACAAAGCTATGTCAGTGCAGCCCCAATGGTGTCCATAAGTGCAGTCCCAACAATGTCCATCAGTGCCACCATTGTCCATCAGTCCACCAGTTTGTCCATCAGTGCCACCAGTCATTGTCCATCAGTGCCACCAGTAATTGTCCATTAGTAAAACCAGTCATTTTCCATCAGTGCCACCAGTCAGTGTCTATCAGTGCCCATCAGTGCTGCCAGTTAGTGATATCAGTGCCACCTATCAGTGCCCATAAGTGCCGCAAATCAGTGCAGCCTCATCAGTGCCTCCTTGTCAGTGCCCATCAATACAGCCTATCAGTGCCTATCAGTGCTACATATCACCGCCCATCAGTGCAGCCTCATCAGTGCACATCAGTGAAGGAGAAAATGTACCTGTTTGCAAAATTTTATAACAGAAACTAAGAAAAAGCAAAAAAAATAAAAAAACTCAGTGGTGAGTAAATACCACCAAAAGAAAGCTCTATATGTCTCAAAAAAATGTCATATAGGTACAGTATTGCATGACCGCACAATATTCATTTAGAGTGCAACAGCACCGAAAGCTCAAAATTGGCCTGGGCAGGAAGGAGGTGAAAGTGCCCTGTAGGCAAGTGGTTAAACACAGTACCAGAGTGTCTGGGCTATATGCAAAATATTATTGCACTCTACTCTTGATAAAGGGGTCACTTGGACTTCTCAGTTTAAGTTTTTAAAAAGCCCCTTTTTTGAGGGTGCAGGGTTCCTAGGTAACTTCAGCACTGGCAAGATCAAACTTTTTGAGAGGCTAGAGTACGACCCCCATACCTCTCATTCACTGTAGGGGATGTGTCCTGAAAAATGGCATGTAATATTCAACTATACATAATTAGAACAGTTCCATTTCTTGTGATACTTATAGAAAAAAAAAAAGAATGTTGAAACTAACCGTCAAGGTACCTTTTCCTTTCCCTTTTGCAGTGACTTTAAAGTCTCCACTTGTTGTCGCCTGTAATAAAACACATTAGTTTCCTTTCAAGAATACGGTGAAACACTTATAGCAAGATCCAACTTGAATTGTTTTGTGATGAGCTCTCCCCCAAATCTGCTTGACAAATGTGGATGAAATCTATTTTTCTAGGCGGTCTGGAGAGGGGTTTTGAACCCATTTCAGGTTTTACTACACTAGGGAGATTTATTTTTCTGATCATCATTTTCACTAAGAACAAAATTGAGGGAAAATCCAGAATTCTGAGTTGTCATCAGAACAGGAGGTAAGAGAAAACCTTCCAGTAGGTACAATCGGACATTAACTGCAATGACAATTATCTAGGAGGAGCCTTACTTCGCTTCAGAAAATGAAAGGAACACAGATGGCAAAAAATCCAAAAAATGGACAGGGTTTCTGACCTTTTTACTCAATCCAAAAAAAATGAAAAAAAAAAAAAGTTTGGGCTGGCTTTAAAGACACTTTAAACAAACATTTATCATTAGGGCCAGATTGCAGTAGAGCCAACATCTTATGTGGCTTAGGGTGGCAGATAGCCATCCTCTTCACGCTGTTGGCTGCCGGTAAAGCATTTATTTGTATAGTAGGTGGTTGTAGACTGGCAACTTGCCTTCCAGTAAAATCCAGCCAAATCTCCAATGGTGCAGCCCTTTTGTTGGTGGTGGTCTTGTGTAATGTGTACTGAGTCAAAGTGTCTCCTTGAAGACAAATTAGTTTTTAGGATACTGAGCATAGATATCCAGCAATAGCCAGGGTAACCACATTGGTATGCTGCACTTAGGGCTCGTTCACAGTTGACTGTTTTACCAACGCTTGCCATATGCCCCTATAGCATTTGGCAAGCGTTGGTCTGGCATTTGAGGAGCGGTTTTTAACGTTCCGCAAACGCCGCATGCGCGTTTAGCGGTGGTTGCTAGACGTTTGCAGAGCGTTAAAAATGCCCCACAAACGCCTATAATGAAGTTTAAATAGTATTACCGCTCTGCAAACGCCCCGCAACCATGCGCCGCAAACACCGGCCGGGTGTTTGCTGAGTGGCACCATAGACAAGAATAGGAGGCTTCAACGCCTCCTGACTCCACCAGAAGCGTCCGTTTTGCCGCGCCGCGATGCTACCGCTCCCGTTAGAACAGCACCATGTCCTGCAATGGGCAGAATTGTCCGAGGCATTTGGGAAGCTGTAAAAACACTTCCCAAACGCCTGTCTGATGCCTGCACACAAGTGTGAACGTAGCCTTAAGGAAGCTGAGACCTGACCGAGTATGATTAAAGTAAGATTTATTAGGAATAAAGCAGAAACCCATCCAACACCAGCAAACACTATGCAAGCAAAAGTGAAAATAAATGTGACAGTGAAGGAACTGACTGAATACCTTACAAGCCACCTAACTATAAAACAATATATGTACAAATGGAGGGGAACACGCATAAACAGGGTAAGTCAGGAGATGAGGGGAGCAACCATGAAGATGGATCAGGAAGGGGACCAGAACTGGGATCAGGAACAAGGGGAGAAGAAATAGGGTACCAGGGTACAAGATACTGGAACAGGATCAAGGTTGGAATCACAGTCAAGAGCAGGAGCAGAAGCAGGATTAGGACCAAAACATTAATAAACAGGTATGCATGTACTGTAGCTCACAGGCAAAACACTGGGGCTTATATACCTTCCCAGCAGCCAGTATCAGGCAGAAACTGATTACAGGGATCTGCTGGGTACTAGGAGATTCCTGCTGATGGTCACCAAAACTACACCCTTTAGCTCTGGGAACCACAGTGCCACCAGTTCCTGACATTAGTCATAGAGTTATGGTCAGGTTACCCTACGAGTACTACTGTTAAACTTTGGTCTGGGCATCTAGACATCAATGGCCTCAGGTACAGTTACCGACATGGGGAGTTAGGAAGGCTCTTTGCCAATGACAATACAAACTGTGATAATGTCATTTTTTAGTAGAGAGGAGACTGTTTAGAACTATTAATTTGGGGAATTTTTCTGTGGCAGAAATTCTATCCCTTTTCACTCTATCCACAAAAAAATGCTTTCCCTGTAAAGTAGATGGAAAGACAACATGTTAACAATGGAATAAATGGCAATGAAAAAGTTTAAGTATTCTTTTAGATGGTAACACAACCCACATACAGTATATGTATACCAGCTTCTGTGTTTTGCTGTTTGCTTGGAATTCAGTTTTAACTTATCCAGTGTTCCTCATGATTTATAATCTCCAAATCCAGGGTCAGGATACTGATTTCAAATGAATTTAATGTCCTTGGAAGAGGCCATTCAGTCCCCATTGATGTCACTGGATCATCAAATTAATTCTCACCTGATCTGTGCGAGCCACCAAGAGATTCTGAACATTGATTTTCTGAGTTACACTGTCTGTTTTGCCAGGGAGCTTGTATGTGACATCCATGTTTATATCTCCTTTATTTGGCACATCTATATGAAACTGGGCAAGGGCCTGGAACATCATGATGGTTGCCTGAAAAAAAAAAGCCATTAGACACTAGAGTATAGAGAAATTATCATAGTTTTAGGTCCATTTATATTTATTTAGTTTTATACATTTTCAGACTGCTGTTTTATACCCGCTTTACTTTACGTATTTATACATTTCTTACCTGATACTTGAATTCAGTGCATCATTTCCAGTGGCTAAAAAATTTAGTTTTAGACTCTGCCTCCTCTTCACTAAATGCTCTCAAATTTTGAATTTCTCCCTGCATTGATGGTTGGAAACCTCTTGCTGTTATTCAGCAACTCCTTTCACATTGGTGAATTGCCCCATTTCTGAATGAGAAACACTTTCAGGGTTTCTATTCAAACCTGTTCACAGATCCCAAGCAAAATGGAGGAGTTTGGCCCATTGTGGACCTGAAAGCTCTCAACTTATTTCTATGAAATCAAAATTTAGGCATAGAATCTGTCAGGTTGGTCATTGTCCCTTCCTCCTCGGGGGATGTTCTGGTTTCAGTGGACATCACAAATGCTTCCACTCATGGTCCTATTTTTTTCTGCTCATCAATACTATCTGTGTTTTTCTGTGGGAGACCAACATTAATAATTTATCACCCTTCCCTTTGGCCTGTCCATGGCACCCCTGGTCTTCACCAAGATGCTTACACCTGTCCTACCTCTGCTTTTGCCCTACATCAAACTTTTGTAATCTGTGCTTTCTTTCCCCTGGTGCATTAGCTGAGCTCAGCGTTTGAGAGCTCACTCCTGTGATATAGAAGGTGAACAATAACAGCTAGGTGTCTCTTACCAACATCCTTTTCAATATCCTAGAAAGTTTACCAGTCAGGTTTCATGAGGTACGCAAATGGACTACACCTATAGCCAGGACATTATTCAACTTTGGTCAAAATTGCACAGTTTGTTTTTATCTGTAAATATCCCTTATCTACATAGGCATTTTTTTTGTAAAGCTGAACTAACCCATAGAAGACTAAAGATCTTGTGTCCTGTACTGTACTCCAAAGAATGGATTTTACTGACAAGTCAAAAATCCTATTTATATGGGAAATCTGTGCTAATCGAATAGATTTGACAGCTGACATCACATAAGACAGATAACTGGCATATAAAAAAGGAGAGGTCAGCAGTATCAGCTCCCATTACTTATCACCACTGGTTTCCTTTAAGCTGAAAACATATTTAAAAAGATCTTACCTGAAGTTCCCTGCAAGAAAAAAAGAGCCTTTATACTCACCATTCTGGTGGCTCAAGTCTTCTACTTCCCATTCAGCTCAGCAGCTCCCTTAAGGCTCTTCAGTAATAAAGACTTCCAGGATTGTCAAATGCATGTGCCCCCCCTTTTTTAAAGATATGTTTATATAATACTTTTCCTTATATTTTGTATACCTAGCACTTAAGGTAGATCTGCGAGTTACGTACTTGAGTTGATCCATAAAATCTCCAAAAAATCTTTCTGTTCCGTCAACCACTGGGCTAATGGTGAGGCCTTCTTATGCTCCCCCTTCTTCAAAAGTGTGAGGAGAGCATAGGATGTTGACTCAATTGTTATTTCTCTGTAGCCTTCTTCATTCCAATGGTTGCTATCTGAAAAGATAATGTTTGACAATTTTGCTTAAAATAATGATCAGTACCTTGAACTCCACTGCAATGGTCACTGCAGTGACCATTGTGCTCTGCCAGCAGGGAAGGAAGAAAACACAATATTGCTGCAGGAGGGTTTCCCTTATCAACACCAACTTTTTTGATGGGGGAATTGAGCAAATTTTCTTTCCTGAAGCCGGTGGCTTGCTTGAAAGTCAGCAAATAAGTACATGTGGCATAAGCAGAATAGGCAACTCCATTATGAAAGGGCAAGAATGAGCCATACCTAGCTTAGAGTATTGCAACAATGTGCAAAAAAGCTTATATGTCCAGCCTATAAATCAGTAATGAGCATCTTTCTTGGTATACAGGCCTAAAGTGTGGCCCCTGACATCAACAAGGGGTCTCTCATTACATTAGGTGAATGTAATACTACATAAAACTACCAAAGACTGTAGATTTACAACAGCATATGGTCAAAAGACTATGGGCATGCAACAGGAGATGGTCAGAGACTATGGGCATGCTACAAGATGTGGTCAAAGACTATAAATATGCAACAGAAGATGGTCAAAGACATTGACCATGCAACAAGAGTGGTTGGAGACTGGGTTCATAGACTGGAAAACACACTACATAAGAATGCTATAGATCACTGCTACTACATCTCCTTTACAAATCAATGCAGTTGATTAAATAAAGGCAAATAGACTGTGCACTTTGCAATTGCAGTTGCGTTCTGGAATGGCATTTTCTCCAGAGCTTAGTAAAGTTGGTAAAGCTCTGCCGACTTCCATCATCCAATCATGTGCAAACCTAAAATACAGGGTTTTTTTTATTTTCTTTTCATTTGATTGGGTATTCTTTGCAAAGAGAAGCTTCACCGATTGCAATGTGCAGAGTCTATTTGACTTTAGTAAATCCACCCCAATGGGATGGATTTACTAAAGGCAAATAGACTATGCACTTTGGAAGTGCAGTTGAACTCTGCAAGGGAAGTTGCTCCAGAGCTTAATAAATGAGGGGAAGCTCTGCTGACTTTCATCATCCAATCCTGTGCAAGCAAAAATGCTTTTTTTTTTTTTTTTTTTTTCCTTGCATGTAATTGGGTATTCTTTGAAAAGTAAAACTTCATCTTGTTTACTAAGCTGTGGAGAAACTACACTTGCAAGATGCACAGTCTTGTACAGGTGTCGGCAACCCACGGCTCCAGAGCCGCATGCGGCTCTTTTTCACCTTTGCTGCGGCTCCGGAGCACACTGCCCACCAGGTGACAGGCAATAGGGTTGCCGTAGCTCAGTGGTCGGCAAGCCGCGGCTCTTTACACATTTTAATGCGGCTCTGCTGTGTGCCGGGCGCCCGCTCCCCTCCCTCCTCTCGGGCGGCTGCCCCAAAAGTCAGGACTCTGCAGCTAGCCCAGCAATGGGCAAACTACGGCCCGGTGGACCTTTTAATCCGGCCCGCGGAGAGTGGCCATTGGCTGTCAGGATGTAGGCGGGGCAGCGCGACGAACTCCTCTCCTCTCACAGTCCGCCCTGCAGACCGGAACGGCGCGGGAACACGGCGAGAGGAACGCGCGGAGCAAAGGTAAGTGAATTGACACAATATGGGGAATGAATTACTATAGGGGGGGGATGAATTACTATATGGGGGGATGAATTACTATGGGGGATGAATTACTATGGGGGGGGGGATGAATTACTATATGGGGGATGAATTACTATATGGGGGATGAATTACTATATGGGGGATGAATTACTATGGGGGATGAATTACTATAGGGGGGATTAATTACTATGGGGGATGAATTACTATGGGGGGATGAATTACTATGGGGGAATTACTATATGATGAATTACTATATGGGGGATGAATTACTATAATGGGGATGAATTACTATGGGGGATGAATTACTATATGGGGGATTTAATTAATTAACTATGGGGGATGAATTACTATGGGGGAATTACTATGGGGGGTTGAATTACTATATGGGGGATGTATTTTCAGTTTTAAAAATGTGGCTCTCAAAATAAATTTCAATCGTGGTTTTGGCGAGATTTGGCTCAGTTGAAAAAAAAGGTTGCCCACCACTGACCTAAGGCTATGATTGTGATTATGACGATACACTGTGGCCCTGATTAACCCTTTGCTTACTGGGCCCTTAAACCCCCTTCATGACCAGAGCGCTTTTTGCAATATATGCAGTGCCGGATTTGTTTTAAATGTTGCAATGGTTTTGCGGCTCCCAGTCTTTTTTTCCCTCTCGAAAACGGGTCCAAGTGGCTCTTTATGTCTTAAAGGTTGCAGACCCCTGGTCTAGTAAATCCACCCCAAAAGGGTTCCAAAGGACTAAATGAAGGTTGGGCACCAGGGCTGTAGATTTTTGAATTTCTATTGATGGATGTGGCCTTAAGGTGTGGAGAAGCTGCCTCTATACATCTGCTGCCCATAGTCCCTAGCCTGTCGGTGTGGGTACCTTACCTGTAGAGGCTGACATCAGTTTATTTATGTCCTGTAGATTTTCTGCTTTGGCCAGAGCATAAGAAGTGATGGCAATGGAATATGGTTTTTGGAGAGATTGATATTGCTGGCTTATATATGAAGAAGCTTTATCAATGCTGGTTTGTAGATTCTGGGGACCAAAGAAAACATTTTTTTTTTTAAGAAAAATTGCATAATTGATGAGAGTTGTTTATATAGTAAATCAGTACATGTCATTTAAAAAATATCCACAGTCATTACTTAAATGGTGAATGTAGATTCAAATGCAGATCTTGTACTATGGGTCCCAGGTTGGGGCACTCTAGGGTGGGCAGTGCAAATGACAGAGGATTTTATCCTCCATGACCATGGCCTCTATAGTCTACACTGATTTTAGTGCACTTTAATTGCAAAGTGATGGTACTTACATTGACATATCCAGTACAAATGGTCACACTATCCAAGAGAGCAATAAGGACAAAGGATGTGAGTGCAGAATCCTTTTCAGCAGAACTTTTCTCTAAACCACCCTGGGCATAATGAAGAGAAAACACGTTAGCACAGGTGACTAAAACATTGCACAAGGTTCACAATTCTTCACTAATGTACTAATAGTTATGACATTACTTTAATTGGACCAGATTACTGAAATATACAGTATGACACTCATATGACACAGGCTGGTTATGCTGCAATTCGAAAACTCAATCACTAAAACCGACATAGGTTTCAACATATTAACATCTATGTAAAAACATTTTTTTTTTGCTAGAGTAGGGAAGATTAAGATCCTATGTCAAGTTGTATTGCTGTCTGTGTCCCCACTGTGGAGATTAACTACTTGCCCTCCCTAAGATTTACCCCCCCCCCTTCATAACCAGGACATTTTTGCTGTTCAGCACTGCGCTATTTCAACTGGTAATTGAGCAGTTGTGCAATGCTGTATCCAACCAAAATGTATGTCATTTTTTCACAACAAATATAAAACTGTATATCACCAGTAAACGTGCCAAATACGGGATAATTTATATAAACTTTGTGAGAGGGCCACAGGGTACACATATGACTTTTGCATTTACAAAGAGAAAGATAGCCACCTGCAGCCCCCTGGAGGTTCAATTCATTGACAACGAAAAAAAAAAATATAGTGTGTTACCTTATGTCACTTCTGTTCCAATTTTTCTAACAGTGCCACTTTTCTGACACCTTTTTCTTCAGCAAACTGTAGCCTTTGGTACAGTGGCACCAAATCATAAAGGCTTTTCACAAAGACTGGTCACCAAAAAGCTGAAAAGGGGGTAGTCAGCAAGTTTGCACAATGAGATCCTTACATGGAAGGATAGGGAGATAATGAAACTCTACCTGGCAAACTGAAGATCCATTCACTGGTATAAAAATGTGCCCATCTACCTATTCCAATTGGCCATTTACAACTCTTTTGTTATCCATAAGTATGCAGGAAGTCCTGGCTCCTTCCTAAAATAGCAAGAAAGGGTTGGTATTTACCAGAAAGGCCCCACACCTAAAACCTTAATTCTGATGCAGTCAGTAGGTTCCAGGAGAGACACTTCCCTGATGGTCTCCCACCTACCGGAACAGGACGAAACCCCCCACCCCCAAAAATAAAAAAAAAATCTGTGTATGCTCCAAAGATGGAATAAGGCATGGCACATGTTACTATTGTCCAGACTGTCCCTCACAACCTGACCTCTGCATAAAGGACTGTATTATTGAAGGTGTGGTGAAGGTGTTTCTCCCAGGGGTGGACTGACCATTCAAGAACTCGGGCACTGCCTGAGAGCCCGGGGTCAGTAGGGGGCCCCATGTAATGCCCCTGGTTTTTATAGGCTTTTTTAAGTGTGGGCAAGGACACGGGGACCCCATGATTCCTTATTGCCCGGGGGCCCCATGAGTTGTCAGTCTGCCCTTGGTTTCTCCTATGTCCGATTATCTGCATTTTGCTTGCATCTGATGTTCCATGTACTTACCATTTGTGTGTCTTTGTAATACGTTTCTTCCTGCTGCCTGGACTGACTATTTGCATGCATACATATGACTATGTCACTGCCTGTCTCCTGAGCTGGTGTGAAAATACAATTTCTTTGCTCATTTTACAAAATCTTGTAGCAAAAAAGTACTTTTTACCTATACGTCATATACGAAATATGTTGGGGTGTTTGCTTTCAAAAATGTGGTCATTTTGTGGGTGTTTCCACTGTCCTGGTGTTCCAGGGCCTCCAAAAGTGTGATAGGTAGTGAGGAAATTAGATGCATAACTTATTCCACTAGAAAGCCTTAAGGTACTCCTTGGATTGGGGACCTCTCTTTATGGCTAGGCTGTCAAAAAATCTCCCATATGTGGCATCACCATACTCGGGAAGAGTAGCAGAATATGTTTTGGGGTGTAATTGTAAGTATGTCTATGCTGTGAGTGAGATTTAATTTGTTAAAATGACAACTTTGTGAAAAAAAACACATTTATTTACATTCAACATTCCAAAGGATTGTGGCAAAAATTTAAAACTTCAATAAACTCACCCTGCCTCTTACTAAAATGTTGAATACTTTACCAAAAAAGGGGGTTATTTTGGGGGTATTTGTACTTTCCTTACATTTAGCCCCTCAAGAAATGAGATAGGCAGTCAGTGGCAGTGGAGGAGGGGATGGTGTAAACAAGCGGAAGTTCTTCTTTGAGCTGTTGGTAACAGAACTCTCATTCCCTCTGTATATTTCAGCTTGGAAGCTCAGATTGTTTAACCCCTTTTTGCACACATAATGCATATGTGCTGTGGCAAAGAGGATGGGCTTTATTGTCCACATGCTGCACATATGTGTCCATGGGCAACAGAGCTTTCTGTGTTGAGAGCATGCTCACTGTGTGTTCTCAGTGCAGTGATCGAACTGTCAAAGACAGCTCTCACTCTCTGCTAATGATTGCTAGCTGGTGGGATCAGCTCCGTGACCATGTGACCACTGTGACAGTCATTTCTTCCTGCTCGCATATGAAAGGGATGCTGGACAGGAAGGGGTTAAATGGTATTTTTCTGTTACAACAAAAAAATAATAGAAGTGAGCGCTCCTAAAATAAGCAGCTGAACACACAAGGAAACCAAATAAAACCTCTTCAAATATGTAAAATAGTGCAGTGCTATGATAAATACAAAATAAATCCAACTAAAATGTCCTAAATGTTAAATAAATCATACAAACTTGACAGTCTATGTAGTGTGAATAACATAGAATCTTCAATCCAGTGGTGGTGCTCCCAGTGGTAAAGTAAAAATTGCGCACTCACCAGAAGCGTAATAAAATTATGCGGTGTATATATCAACAAAGGTCCCCTTCACAGGTCTGAGTCCGGGCTGGAACATGAGTTGATTCCCCCTCCAGAAATATATATATATGAGCCCTCAGGAGATGTGAATGGATCCAGCAAGCCAGAGGTCCCTTTAAGGGATAGGTGGGTATGGATGCCTGTTTACAGGTGCTTCCCTCTCTGGATGGATGGACTGGAGACTGGATCGTGGCAAGGCTCTAAAAATGATAAAGCTCCTCACAGGAGACCAAGGAGAGTGCCCATGGTGTAGTAATTCATATAAATAATTTATTAGATCAAAGTGACATAGGCAGAAGATGAATAAAACACGGCAGCGTCAGGTGTAATGAAAGACTGAACCTCCAGAAATAAAGATGGACGCCGGGCCTCTACGTGGCACTGGCGGCATAACGTCACGACGTCCTAGGCTCCTGTGATGCATTTCGTGCGCACGCACTTCTTCAGACGAAGGAGACTAAGTTACTTAGTCACTTAGTCTCCTTCCTCTGAAGAAGTGCATCCATACCAACCTATCCCTTAATGGGACCTCTGGCTTGCTGGATCCATTCACATCTCCTGAGGGCTCATATCCATATTTCTGGAGGGGGGTCATCTCAAGTTCCAGCCCAGACCCAGACCTGTGAAGGGGACCTTTGTTGATATATACATCGTGTAATTTTATTACGCTTCTGGTGAGTGCGCAATTTTTACTTTAAGTATTTTTCAGTTGACTAGCTGCAGAGTGATGGGGGAAGATTAGTATTGTTCCAGGCAGAGAATGTAACTAGTGAAAAAGAAGTCCCGGGATCCAGTGGTGCCAAGGGTGACAGTGAATCTCAGCTTCATGCCAATTGTACCTACCATTATATATGTTTGAAAGACAGGAGCATCTTCTCTAAAGACACCGTCTGGGTTCTGCTTGTTATCTGTAAGCCATCTGACAGACTCACATAGTTTACTTTTGTCAAGGTCGGTAAGGCTACTAGCCAGGGAAAAAACCCTGACAACATAAGCAGTGAGCCTGAGGAGAGAAATCCACCAGTGAGTAGAGAATTAGGAAAATAGTGAGCAGAAGACGTACAAAAAACTGAGCATGCAACAACCGTACAATCCAACATTTAAGGAAACCTGTGAAGACAGACAAATGGATACACAGAACAAGCCTTTTTTTGCTGGCTGCATGCTTGACCCATGTCTTTGACTCAAAAATTAGTGAGGCAAATATGGTAGTCTTGAGACTTGCATATTTAAAAACAAGAATGCAGTAGCAGTTTCTTTACTTCTTTCCTCACAGGTTCACTTTACAACACAAGTTCACCTGTTCCACATTATCCACATCCCTCATTGTCTCAGTTCCATGCACTTAAAGTTGATTCTAAGGGGTTGGTTTGCAAAGAATTTGCATAGCCATTTGCCCAGTGAAAGTGCACATACATCCATTCTGAGTGAATGGAAAAAAAAATGTAAATAGTGTATATCCCATGCTATCGATCAGTGGTCTCCAAACTGCAACCTGGGGGCCCTTTGCCTGTCTTTATCCAGCCCTTTGGAGCTATTTTTCTTCCACTGACATGAATGATGCAGCACCATTTTAGGGAGGCATATCCATGGAGGGATGCACAGACCTCTACAGGCTAGACAATGGCACCCTGACTGCCATTAGGTATCGGGATGAAATCCTTGGACCCATTGTAAGACCCTACACTGGTGCACTGGGTCCTGGGTTCTTCCTGGTACATGACAATGCCTGGCCTCATTTGCAGAGAATATGCAGGCAGTTCCCGGAAGATGAAGGAATTGATATTATTGAATGGCCTCCA